CTAAGCATGTTAATCATTGTTGTTGATGTAAATCTTCCTTGTTTTAACTCTGATTGAATGAATCTGTTGTTTGTCAATATTAAGAATTCTCCTTCCCATGAATGGTAGCTGATTAAAGTTTTGGAATTGTTGCTTTCCCACTTTGTTTATAGCTACGTTCGCAATGTAATCTGCTAGCTGATTAGCCTCCCTAAAAATATGCTTAATTGTAACAACCATGTGAGGCATAATTTCTTGAATATCCTTTATCCTTTCCACTAATACCCATGGAATTCTCCAATTTCTTACTAATAGGTTTTTCAAAGTAAGAGAGTCTGTTTCCAGACTCACTCGTTGAAATCCTTGACTTAAAAAAATATTGTAAAGCCCTCCAGATGGCCATCGACTCTGCATCCATGTTGGTAGTCACTCCTATGTCTTGTGCTTCTGCATAAAGTAGCTCTCCAATATAGTTTCTGATGCAGAAACCATAAGAACTTTGGCCTGGATTTCCTTTACTCACTTCATCAGTATTACATTTAATCCAACCTAATTCCGACGGCTTCCAATTCACTACATGATAGTATAGAGTGGGCTTATATGTCTGTAGTAGAGCAACCATTCCTTCCCACTTATAAGGCACCTCTTTAATCCAAGGAAACTTTGCTCTAATAATCTGATGAATTGTCATTTGACATTAGTGGATCATTTAGTTATAAGAGTATTCATTTCCATGTCTTCTCTCATTTCTCCTTTTCCATAGTTCCCACATTAAAACTGTTGGGACTGCCTTCAATACTTGCTCTAGCTTATTGGATGATTTGTGTTCCCACCATTTAATAATGAGTTGCTGAAGGTGGAGTCCTTCAATCTTTATACCTGCACAAGAAGCAAACTGCTTCCATAGCTTTTGGGCTATGGAGGCCGTTAGAAATAAGTGTGTCATAGTTTCCATTTCCCCTTGTTCGCAACAATAACATTTGGAAACCACTGGTAGCCTCATTATTTTCAAGTTATCATCAGTTTCAATTCTTCTTCTCCAGTGAAAAAAGGCTATCTTAAACGGCAAGCCTTTGATCCATATATTCTTCACCCATTCAAGTTCTTCATTTCTCCTCCTTATGCTGTTGAAAGATAAGCTCATAATAAAACATCCTTTTGTGTTTCCTAACCACCACGCCTTATCAATATAATCTTCATTCCAATTGGGGTTAGTAGTCTCTGTGATATGCGCCACCATCTCTTCTGAGATGAAAGAAAGCAATTTTTGTTCATCCCATGAGCCATTTATTATAAAATCCTTCACTTCCAGATTTTCCTCTCTCACTGTCTCATCTCCCAAGAAATACAAGTCCCCTTGCTTAGTCCAGTTGTCAAACCAAAAGTTAGAGTTTCCATCTTTGATTTTCCATCATATGTCTTGTTCCACCTTCATCTCTAATATTGATCATTTTTCTCCAAATATGTGAGTCTCCACTGTGCCTGGCAATTACAGGGTGTAGCTTCTTACAATACTTATTCCACATGTACTTGCTCCATATTGAGGTAGTCGAAACTCTAAATATCCACCATCGCTTCGCAAACAGGGCCTTATTTACATCATGTATAGATCGGAAGCCTAAACCCCCTTCCTCCATTGGATAACACATCTCCTCCCATGCTACCCATTGCTTACCTTTTACTCCCCCCACTTTTCCCCAAAAAAATTTAGCAAATATTTGATGTATTTGGTCAATAACTTTCTTGGGTGGATTCATAGCAGATAGCATATATATTGGCATAGATTGCAGGACATGATTGACTAGCACATATTTACATCCAAAAGATAAAAATCTGTTTTGCCATGTCAATACCCTTCTGACTATTTTCCATGTTAGCTCGTCAAAATAACTCGAATTCCTTCTCCCATAATATACTAGACAGCCCAGGTAAGTAAAAGGAAAATTTCCTTGTCTGATTCCTGTTAACCTTCTTAATCGAATAGCCACTATCAATGGAGTTTTATCATGGAGGTAGAAAAAACTCTTTGCTTTGTTGATCATCTGTCCCGATGTGTTTTCATAATCCCTTAGTACTCTCATCATCTTAATCACTGTCCTTCTGTCTCCAGAACAAAACAAAATAGTATCATCCGCATACGAAAGATGATTAATTTGTGGACTCCACTTTGGTAAACCAAACCTTTTAAATTCCTCATCACCATGTAACTTGTTTAATCCTCTAGCTAAAAGCTCGGCTCCAATAATAAACAAAGTTGGAGACAGAGGGTCTCCTTGTTTTAATCCCCTGGTAGATCGAAAGAAACCATGTGACCTCCCATTAATGAGAACCGAATACCAATTGTGTGAGACTAGCCTCCATATCATGTCAATGATCACTTCAGCAAAACCAAACTTTCTCAAAACTTTGGTTAAAACTATCCACGACACTCTATCATAGGCCTTATCCATATCCAGCTTAACCACCACGTTAATATGTTTATTCCTCAAATGAATATCTCCAATTATCTCCTGAGCCAATAATACATTTTCTGTGATGCTCCTCCCTTTTACAAAACCCGACTACGTTGGGGATATAAATTTTGGCAGTACTACCACCATCGTGTCATGTATCAATCTAGAGATTATTTTATTAGTAAAAAAACTTAAGCTGATGGGGCGCAAATCAGAGAAGTTTTTGACCAATTCCTTCGTGGGCAGTAAAATCAAATTGGTGTGTGTAACGTATTTGGGTAGATCATGCCCACAAAAGAATTCTCTCACCAATTTTGTAATGTTTCCTCCAACAATTTCCCAGCATCTTTGGAAAAATAACCCTGAAAAACCATCAGGCCCACATGCGCTACTGACATTCAACTCAAAGACGACCCTTTTGACTTCCTCTTGCTCTGGTAATCTCACCATTTCCTCATTCTCTTCCTCCGTGATAATTTTCTCGATAAGGTCAAGCATTGAGAAATCTCTAGTCATATCATCTTCCTTGAATTGTTCGGCAAAATTATTTACCGCCTCCTCTCTGATTTTTGCATTAGTTTGCACCTTGACCCCTTATCATTTTCTCTTTCTGATATGTAGAACTTTTTTCTCCTCCCTTTAACATATGAGTGAAAGAATTTTGTGTTCTTATCTCCATCTGAAAACCACTTCATCCATGCCTTCTGCCTCCAGAATTCCCCTCAATTTTCAGGAACTTCTTTATTTCTGCCTCCATTCGATGTAACTCTGCCCTGTTGCTCTCAGAGGGGTACAATTCCAGTTGGGTCTCCTTAAGTCTTTATGACATCTTCTATTTCGTAGCAATTTGATAGAACACGTTCCCAAAAACCTCTTTGCTCCAAGCTGATAATGCTTTCTTCACCTTCTTCAATTTTGCCTGAAATTCCAATAAAAGGCTGCCCATAAAATCCACCTTCCAATTCTGTGCAACTACTTTTTTGAATTGATGGTGCTTTGTCCAAAAATTTAAGAAACGAAACGGCTTCACTGCAGGCTCTTCTTCGGAATTGCAAATCATGTGTAACGAAGCATGATTAGAACCCTTTCTGATGAGATATTGTACCTCTGACAATGGAAATATATCCATGCAAACTTGGTTCATAAGAACCCTGCCAAATCTTTTGAAAATGCATTCTTCTTCAATTCGCCCATTCCACCAGGTGTATCTACTACTTGCAAACTTGACTTCTGATAAGCTACAGTTATTAATGAAATGTTCAAAATCCATGGCCTCAAATTGTGTAAAAGCCAGTCCACCCAATTTTTCTTCTTCATTTAAAATTACATTGAAATCCCCCCATATGATCCAAGGCAATTGACTACCCTCCACAACGCTTTCTAACTCCTCTCACAGTTCCAACCTATCTAGAGCATTGCATCTAGCATACACCGCTGATATAAGAAACTCCTTGTTATGTTTGCTGAACTTTAAAGTTACTTGTTGAATGATAACCAAAACTATACTTCCTGCCCATTCGTCTCTCCAGAAATACCGGATTTTCCCTGAAGTATTGACACTTGCATGACTGAACCCCATCTTTATTTTGTAATGATGTAGTTCTATTGGATCATGAAAAGGTTCCATTAGAGCTATGAATGAGTAATGATGTCTTCTATTTAGATCCATTAATCGCTCAAAGGATTTTTGAGAATTAATTGATCTAATGTTCCAAAACAGTAGTTTTTCTATCATTGATCACTATTCGATGTTTTATCTCTGCTGCTCCTTGTGTTCACCTGTAGAGGAATAATAGATTTACCTTTCTTGGCCCCATTCTTCAAACTGTCTGTATGTCTTGGGGATAAATCCCCTGCTTTACTTATTTGTTGAATATTATACTCCATGTCCTCATCCTCTTCTGTCTCCTTTCTCAACTGCAACTCTTCCTTATTGTCTTCGATTAAATCTGGCCCTTTCTTTATCAATAAATCATCATTCATATTCTTGCCTACATCAAACATTGTCTTATTTGAACAAGAGTTATTAATTACTGCCAACAAGTTTCTGGATGTAGCCTCAGCTGAGTTTCCTTTTGTTAATGTACCCATTTTCTGCCCATCTATAGTCATCTCCTTGCCCGTGTCTCCATCGTTTCTACCATTTGGGTATTTCTCCTCTACATCATCATTTATGGCACTGTTAGTATTTTCTGAGATTGTGATAGGCCATGTTCCTTTCTTGTTGTTAACCTTTACCACTTCATCAATTGGAGTTGTAAGATTGTTTATGTTTCCCATGTTATTGCTCTTTTGTTCCCCCGGGGTCGTATTTATTGCCTTACTCCCACTTTCTTTGAGCTCATTTGCATTTTGTTCTTCCTCGAGCACTTGTGTTTCTTTGTCCAATGCATCAAATTTATTCCTTGTGATCAACCTGACTTTATTCCAGACTTTCTCCGGCTGTCTCCTATTCCCCCCAGCTCCCTTTCTGTGTCTTTGTTCTATAAACTCTACAACCTTCTTCTCGCTTTGTCGATTTCCCCCTTCAAGATGACTTTCCATTCATTCTTTTCTTTCTTCCTTCCCCTACTGATTTTCTTTACTGGTTTGTCCTCCTACTACTACTTGATCGACCTTCTCTTTCTTTGGAAAGAGCTCTGGATGTTCAACATAACACTGCTCTTCGTTGTGTCCCTGAATCATGCATGTTTTACAATAATTTGGAGCATAGTCGTACTTGATTCGAATCCATTTCTCCGTTATCTCCTCATTCCTCCCTTTTATTCCAATTTTAATGTGTTTTGGAAATTCTCTTAGTAAATCCACCTCCACCTTAACTCTCGCACAACTGGGTCTAGTTTGGTTCCTGGTGGCCATATCCACTTGAATTGGTTTACCAACTGCAGCAGCTAGTGAGAAGACAGCTTCCTTTCCAAAGAAATTTGGGGGAAGTGAGGGGAAAGAAATCCAAGCAATAGTTGTGGATGTTTCTTCCTCCGAATTAAACATCTCATTGGAAAGGACTAGTTCCTTTGTGTAATGTAAAACGCAGGCTTCGAGAAAAGGTGAACATAATCCTCTAACAAAGTGGACCTAATCAATACATGTATGCTGCTCAGTAGACCAATATTGCATTCACCTTTCATCTCACATTGTTTAGGTATAAGCTTCCGTAGATCCTGGATCTCCGACCATCCATACGAGAATTTTCCAATCACAGCATACTCCAAATTCTCGTTGATAATCATCTGATTGACTTCGTCATGATCTCATATTACTTGTGGCTCTTCATGTAGGTATGAAATTGGTTTCAGAGGTATAGGTTTACTTTGTGCTTTTGGTTGTTTCAAAGAAGAGGCGTACGTAGGCATGGTATGGTTAAGAGAGGGTCCCTCCTTTGGAGGGACGCTGGCCATGGTGGCCATAGTCATCGGAAGAGGCAAACATAGGGTATTGACGGCGGTAACACTACAAATTGTTCAATTTAACTCTTCTAAATTTATGGAACTTCATACTTATAAAAAATGCATCAAAGTGTTGAGACTTTCTAATGCAAAGGGAGGAGACTCTTATCTCATTTTTTTCCTTTTTTTCGTTGCTTTTCTTTTAGAGTATTAAAATTTAAAACTATTCAATTACGAAAGAATGATGAAATATCTTTTAATACATTTTTAATTTAAAATAAAACTACGCAATTACAATCATCACTTTTGAACTTTTTTTATTACTTCCAACTAGAGTTGTCAATTTGGGTTAACCCACCCCATTCGGGCTAAGCCTACACAAGGCTTTGGGGGGCCGCACAATTTTTAAAAAATTTATTTACAAGATATATTATTGATATTAGACCAACAAAATTATTGTTCTTAAATTTATGAAATGCTATGCTCATAACAAATGCATTAAAGTGTTGTGACTTTCTAATGCAAAGGGAGAACATTATCATCTCATTTTTCTTTTTTTTCTTTTCGTTGATTTTATTTAAGAGTATTAAAATTTAAAACTATCCAATTACGAAAGAAGGATATTCTATCTTTGAATACATTTTAAATTTAAAATCAAACTATGCAATTACAATCAAAACTTTTGATCATTTTTTTATTACTCTCAACTAGAGTTTTCAATTTAACTTTTTTTATTACTCTAAACTCCCAATCCCGAATCACCTCCACCTTATCAATGTCCATCCTTATTTCACCATGACTAATAGTGTGTCCAAGGAACTGAACAGTGGGTTGTGCGAAGCTACATTTTTCTCGCTTCACACATAAATTGTTATCTCGCACGACTTTGAACACTTTGCCCAAGTGCTAAACATGATCCTCCACACTGTTGCTATAAACAATAATATCATCCAAATATATAACTACAAACTGATCCAAAAATGGATGGAACTGTTTGTTCATCAAGGTACAAAACTCGTTGGAGCGTTTCTCAAACCGAAAGGCATGACCTGCCACTCAAAGGCTCCATAACGAGTAACACAAGTCATCTTTGGCTCATCTCCTTCAACAATCCGGACTTGGTAATAACCTTTCCTCAAGTCCATCTTTGTGAACACTTTGGCATGCCCCAACCTATCAAATAGATCAACGATCTAAGGAATAAGATATTTGTTCTTTTCCGTGACCTTGTTGAGGGCCTAGTAATCAATACACAAACGCAACCTTCCTTTTTCTTTTGGAACAAAATGGGTTCACCAAATGGCGCATTAGACGGCCTAATATGTCCAACATCAAGCAACTCCTTGAGTTGATTTCTAAGTTCCTCCAATACTGGGAACTCCATGCGATATGGCGTCATGGCAGGGGACTTTGCCTTGGGAACTAATTCAATTTAGTGCTCAACTTCCCTTAGCGATGGCAACCATTAGGAAGTTCCTCTTGCATCACGTCCCTATTATCAACAAGGGCATGCTCAATACAAGGAGGCAAAGCTACTGCCTCAATTAAGTTTTCAACGCCTCCGACAAGGGTAGCAAGAAAGGTTAGTTCCCCTTTCTTAAAACCCTTAACAATCTAAATAACGGACAAGTGCATTTCATTTTGTGGTATCTCAATAAAGGGTACCACGTAAGAACCTTCTGCATCGCTGATGTAAAGTTGGTTGAGACGGGGTGAAATAAATGCGTAAACCTCATACCAAAAATCCATCCCCAAAATAATGTCAAACACATCCATGGGCGCAATAATGAAGTCCGTCAACCCCTTCCATCCTCCTAAATCAATGGGGACTTTAGGAGCGAAACCATGGACAGTAGTGAGGAGGGAATTGACGATTTTTAACAATGTAATGCTGGCAACATAATTCAAACAAAGGTCCTTGGCCCTTTTCTCAGTTACAAAATTATATGTTACACCGATGTACACCATAATTCGAACGTCTTTGCCATTCAACTTGGAATTAACGAACAGTGATTCAAGCGGCCTTACACGAGCCGGCTGGGCAGCCAACGCTGCAAGTGTCATGTGATTAAACAAGGCCATGTGATTGAACAAACCCACAACCACGTTTTTTCCCTTGTCCGCCCCACCAGCCTGTCCACTTTGCTCCCCGGACAGTCTACCGGTTTGCATCGCATCCTTCTCTTGCTGCTTTTGAGCAGCAACCATAACACTTAATTTACTTAACGATGGACAATAACGAGCAACGCGAGTAGTCTCACCACACAGATAACAACCCTCATGATGAGGAACGTCTTTCTTACGATACTCATAATTTATGCAGAAATTAGAAGACTGGTTACGATTGTTACCTTTCATGTCACTGCCTCAGTTGGGAACGGACTTGCCTTTGTTCCGATTGTTATCCACTATGGGAGGAATATTTTTTCTCCGGTTGTTCCTACCCTTTGCTGCATGATATACCGTGAGTTTACGGTATTTTCTAATACGTTTCACTTACAAGTTGTGTGTGTCT